CCCTCCCTCTCTCCCTTCCCTCCCTCCCCTCTCCTCCCTCCCTCTCTCCCTCCCTTCTCCCTCTCTCCCTCTTCTCCCTCCCTCCCTCCCTCCTCCCTCCTCCCTCCCTCCCTCCCTCCCTCTCCTCCCTCCTCCCTCTCTCTCTCTCTCTCTCTTCTCTCTCTCTCTCTCTCTCTCTCTCTCTCTCTCTCTCTCTCTCTCTCTCTCTCTCTCTCTCTCTCTCTCTCTCTCTCTCTCTCCCCCCCCCCCCCTTCCCCCCTCCTACATTTTTTTTTTCTTGCAGAACACGAATTCCGCCAGATGCTAGGCCTGCGACCTGACCTCAGGCCAACTCTTTCCCAGATGGAACCTGCTGAGATCCCAAGTGGAGATATTCCTTCTGAATTTGACTGGAGAGATCATGGTGTTGTTACCCCAGTGAAGAACCAGGTATGGAGTTTAGCTCTTGTGGGTTTTGTTGGTGCGAATTAGCAGCTTCTTCTGTTTGCACCCATCTCACTTAGTATTTTAAGTGAAATATTTGGTGCCTTATAGCTTGTAACTATCTTATGATGAAAGATTGAAGGTTTTCCTTTCCTTTTATTGTCTGTATCTATTAGGGGCACAAAACAAATGTCATTACAAGTGGAGCAAGATGAGTCGATAGCATGGGTTGCATTATTATGTGGTGCTATTTGCGACTCTGTCCACCACAGCCATTACATGATATTATGATATCTGTGGGTATATGGATAAATCTGTTACATATTGAACAATTAATTACAAGAATCATACTATGTATATGTAGTATTTATTACTCTTATTGAAATTTGTTGCCATTGCAGGATTTTTTCACTTAATTTGCTCATTTGAGAGGCCATTTGCTAAATCTCTTTCATTGATCAGAGTAAATCTAATTAATCTTTTTTCTTTCTTTTTTAGGGAATGTGTGGATCATGCTGGGCCTTCTCAGTGACTGGTAATGTAGAAGGACAGTGGGCTTTGAAGCACAAGCATCTGTATTCTCTCTCTGAACAAGGTAAGGAGAGTCATAAACAAATATTGTAATAGTGTGTTTGCGTATTTATGTTTTGTCGGGTTTTAATATCAAAGGGTGTGTATTAATCTTTATTATAGAATCAAGCAGAAAATGTGATGATGGTTTTCATGGTCATTTAATTTCATCTTCCATTTACTTAGTGTTTGTGGTTATTGATTCAGTATACAAGTTTTATCTATGTTAGTTCAGATTCCTTTTAATTATTTATGTATGGGATACCCTACCAACATAGGTATTTATATTTAATATTTCAGCTTATCATAAAACATTATGAATTGATTCCATTATCATTATTATTTATTCTTTCTTTACACCAGAACTTGTTGACTGTGATAAAACTGACGAAGGATGCAACGGAGGCATGCCTGAAAATGCTTACGAGGCCATTGCAGAGCTTGGTGGCTTAGAGACTGAGAACGATTACCCTTATGAAGCTAAGGACGATAAGTGTCACTTCAATAAGAATAAGGTATAGATAATTATAGACAATTTAAACCATCATTTTCAACCTGATAAATTTATCTTCTTTTTTTGTCTTTTCATCCTGTTCTTTTTTTTCTTCTTTTTCATCTTCTGTCTAGTAGTCAGCTCTAAAATGCAGAGGCATATGTCTAACAGCTAGTAATGATTTTGCATGATTTGGTTTTGAAAGATTGTCGTTTTCATTATGTTTATGTTTTAAGTTTGTCCCATGGTTTGCTGATTAGTATCTTTTAGGTACATATCCTGGTATACACTATTGAGTCACTCATGATTGTCTTTATGCAAAAGAAAATCTTTGGAAAGGAAGAAGGAATGGGAAGTGATAGATTATGATTAAAAATAAAAAAAGTACTTTTTGGACTTGAAGTTTGTACTTTATAGATGTGTTTTTTTAAAATAATTTGTCATGTGAAAAAGCTCACATTATTCAAACTTTTCAGGTGAAGGTTACTGTCAATGGATCAGTGGAACTTCCCCAGAATGAGGATGACTTGGCAAGGTGGCTGGTCACACATGGCCCCATCTCTATCGGAATCAATGCCAATGCTTTGCAGGTGAGTTTGTTATTTTGAAAGTAATGTATCTTTATTTTTATGAAATCAGATTGAAATCTTGGCCATAAAGGATTGGAATGTGTGTGTGGGGAGGCACAGATAAAGAAAATTTTTAAGAATAATAAATTTTCCAATGATTTCAGTTCTACGTTGGTGGAGTCTCCCATCCCTTGAAGTTCCTGTGCAACCCCAAGAGCTTGGACCATGGCATGCTGATTGTTGGATATGGTGTACACAGTAAGTCTTTCCCATAACTTCCTTCTCAAAACTTAATTTCTTTCTTGGCAAGTTATTAATGTTAGATAAAATTCAAAGGTTTCTTTTGTAATAAGGCCTTTGTGAATTAAACAGGCTGAAGGGTTTGATTTTGCTTAAGTATGTGCTTAAAGCAGATTTGCAATATTTTGAGAAGATTTTTAGAAGCAAAATTTAAGGTAGATTTTTAAAGAACAAGTTATTTATTCATTTATGAAAACTTATACTTTGAATTTTGTTATAACTTCCTTGCAGGCAGTACTCAGAATATTATATTAATAGATTATTAATAGGTTATAGTCTGAACAGTTCCTAAAGTTTGATTTTTTTTATTTTGATATAAGGGGAAAAACATGTTGCATTAACATAAAATTTTAGTTTGAAGGAGAAAGAGACACAAACTTCTTTTTCACATGAAACATTAAATATATATTATATTTTCCTTTTCTTTTGTGTGTGCGTGTGCGTGCGTGTGCGTGAGCGTGAGCGTGCGTGTGTGTTTTTTTTTTTTGCATGTTTGCTTGTTATATGTTACTTGTTGATCCTCTTGACAGGGATGATTGAGTCTCGCTGTACTGCTTAATATAAAATTATTACTTCTGTATGCAGCACCTACTGGAAGGAGTATAGGAAGCTGATATAATGTTACAATACTCTAAATAATGCTCTTTCCTGCCAGCTACAAAATACCTACACAGAAGGCAACCATATTGGATTGTGAAGAATTCATGGGGTCCTGACTGGGGTGAACAGGTATGTGATGAAATTTATGCTAGGAATGGTGTGTGAATAGCTCTGGGGCAATTTGTGTGTGGATTACCTTTCTGTGTTACTTTGGGATGTACAATCCAAGAACTTCATAGCAGTTGGCACACAAATCCCACAGCTGTTTACACTTCCACTTTTACGATTACTTGTCCCAGTTTGATGACTCCAAGTTCTTTGCAGCCTATCCTGTTTTCAAGAAGACTCTTCCATTCTGGATTGTAAAGAATTCCTGGGGAGAGGAATGGGGTGAACAGGCAAGTGCTGTACCATAAAAAAAGTATAGCATGATTTTTTTCTGTGGCTTTGAGCATGGTTGTCTGCTGCTAAAGGTATGCAAATTTTTGTGAAGTGAAAGAAGTTGTTTAGCATGATTTTTTTCTGTGGCTTTGAGAAGTGACAGTGTTTTAGTTCATCTATTCATTGATCTAGTTTTATGCTTTGTATTACAAGAAAGTATAGGGACAAGTGGTATACATGTTACCAACTGATTAAGGACTTGGGTGGCATTTTGTTGCCATTTTTGTTTTGGGTGTCTTGTACATTTTTTCACATACAAGGAAAAGTGACCACAACTCAGCAAAAGCTAAATAAAACAAAAAGTATAATAAAACTTTCAAGAAACACTGATCACTGAAGAGTGAGGCTACTTATGTGGTTAATAAGTCTGTAGCTGAACTCAAACTTTAACCTGTTTATTAACATGGTGAGGGTTCTTCAGTAAAGATAAAGAGTGCTTGTTACTAGAAGTTCTAAGGGAAATCCAGGCATTTCATGAACTTTTCATTGGCAGACTAACAGACCAGGATTTTTATTTATTTATGTATCTTGTTATTTTAATTTGTATTAGTTAATACATGCATGCACTTTTTTCAATGGGTGGCTTCAGAACACAGGTAGTTGGAATGGTAATTACTAGATTGAATAGTTTTATTTCCAATCACGTTTTTATATTGTTTACAATTGTATTTAACCATTGATTCCCAAATCTTTAGTTGGCCTATTTATGAGGTTGCAGGATGGTTTGCAAAAATTATGAGAATAACAGTCAAAAGGCCAAAGATTCAAATTACATTCACAATAGAAATAAGAAACATCAAGTGTCCAAGAAAATTCAGTAAAAGTTATTGATAAATCTAGTTGAAGAAAGACTTGAAATGATGCTTACATGCAGAGGTTCACAAAACCTTCGGAAAAATGTCTTAGTTTTAGACACTTAAATTTAAGCATCATGGATCCCTCTCTTGTAAGTAGTTTCTATGACTATTTCCCATTAACAGACCATCTTCCAAGCCTTTTTGAACCGGCCAGATAAATTGTTATTATACTATCAGAGCTTAGATAATGCCCTGTGCACACAAACCTTTGCCTGAGCACAACCTGCTTTGCAGTTGGGGAAATGGGGATAAACAGTTGATCATGATTAGTTGATCAGAGACTTGTCTTTGATTGATTGTACATCTCAGTTTTCTATCTGGAAGTAGGTAACAGGTGATTTTAAGCTGTGTGAAATTAAGGTAATTGTGAATGTTGATCATAGTTGATCATGTATTTGGGGACAGTGAACTGCATCATGAACTGATTGATATTGTGTTTTCAATAAAGTTTTTGCAAAATGGAAGTCTTGTTACAATTTTAGGAAGAGTGTTCTATATGGATATTAGTCTTGTTTATTGCATCAGGGTATCTGTTGTAAATGTAGATTATGCTTCACAAATGGTGCCTTGTAAATCTTGTAACTCTTACTACAAACACAACCTGAAAGGCAGCAGAAACTCTGCAGCTCCAGTTTTTTACCCTGGACAACAACACTTCCCATGCAACAGAAACTGCTATGAACCAGTTTACCAAAAACTAAGGGCACATCGCTATCCACATTGGCCAGCTGAGCTTCTTGAATTGTACCTGGCTGATTGTGCACTCCCTCATGTACTATTTCCTCCCTTGTACATTTTTTTGTATGTAACCTACTTGTCATTTGAAGATTTACAGAGATGATAGGAGGGAGAAGGGACGGGAAGTTTTTATGGGTATTGCAGTCTATATTTAGGGATACATAAAAAAAAAAATAAATGTGAAGAAAGAGAGGTATAGAGCAAAATCATAGGAGTGTTTATGATACCTTAAAGAAAAGAGAAATAAACAAAGAAGAACAATTCATGTGTGTATAAGATGAATAGCTAATACATATAACCATTAAAAAGTAACATTAGAAATCCTGTCAACCTCTCCAGTTTTATATGTAGAAACCTAGACAGAACTAGAGAACACAGTTTCATTCCAATGATAAAAATTAAGTATCAAGTTGGTTCAAATAATAACAAAGGAATATTTGATAATAGGAACATATTGACTAGAAATATATGGAATTGGACAAGATAATGATGATCTTTCTAGAAGACCTTTACTGAATAAAAGCCTGGTAATAAGGACAGAGACTAATCAAGAGCCTTAGTAAAACAAGAAAAGGCCATGTGACTTATTCAAAGAAACAAAGTAAATGACAAAGAAGAGTACTAGAGAGGAACCTTTGACACCATCATATCATTTAGGATTGTAATGAGTGCATGTTTCAAAAAGATCATACAGCTTTGTCGTCAGTGCTACAAAAGATGATTAGTAATCTTTGTAAAATGGTTGAAAGATATTCACAAACTGCCAGATTAAGAGAGGCCAAAATGAAACCCAGAATCTAAATTTGATGGATAAAGCAAAGATCATAGGTTTGAGCATTAAATTGGTAGGAGAATCTCCATAGAAGAATAAAAGGATAGACCACCTTTATCACACAATAGATTTTGCTGTGATTACTTGCCAGTCCAGAATTCCTTGGTGTAAAGAACTGCAAAATATTATCTAAATTAGGTCACTTCATAGGCACCTGTAATTAGTTGTCATAAAGGAACCATAAACAATATGAAAATGTACACTGGCTGTTATCAGTAGGCCTTGAATCAGCAAAAGAAAAAGAAAGAAAGAAAAAAATGCTCAGAGAATATTGGGATATAGGAACATGATCTTGAATTGTACATGTCAAGAAGAAATAACAAATTTGTGGGACTAACCTTTTTAAGACTAATGTAAAAGGAAATAGTTCATTGTATTGCTTTATTCATATTCCTTACTTTTTTTCTAGAGGAAAAAAGTAAAAATAAAGTAAAATTTAAGTGAGGTCTTTTATATGTGATGTTACTAATTACTTATGATAGTAACTTACATAGTTTATAGTGAATGTTTTCTCATAATTGTCTTTTTAACAGGGATATTACCGCGTGTATCGAGGAGATGGCACATGCGGAGTGAACCAGATGGCCACAAGCGCCATTGTTCCTTAGGTGGTGCGATCTCAGCGAAGAAGAATTTTAGTGTGACCAACTCTGATATATCTTAGAGCTTTTGTAGGTATTAGTGGCTTCCATCACTAAGGTTGTGGTATTAACTTCTCTAAAAGCTTGACCATTATGTTGTGCTGAGAGATCTTGATTTTCACACGTCAAATTTTCACTCTGCACTAACTAGGTTTTGAAGGTAATGCTAGATCAAGGTTTTCTTTTATGTTTTATGTTTGTTAGATTGAAAACAAAGATGATTCTCTGTATTTCAGTTTTTATATGCTGCTTAAAAGAATGAATATTTCATTATTTTGTTTTTGTTATTATAATACATTTTAGTGTGTCCCGAAGAGCAGCAGAAAAGAATACAATATATGATAAGATGATACTACTTAAGAGCTGTAGTCACAAAGTTTCAGAGTAAATTTTAATAGGTAATGAGTGTCTCCTCTATAGTTATTGTGTACTATTTTTTTCAGAAAAATATGAACAAATATATATGGATTATGACAGGTAGCGAGAAGAAAATTCATGATAGAGCAGGATGATATATAAGCTATAGTGTAGTTTGATATTTTTTTAGTAATTATATATATTTTTTATATATACAGTGATTATATAACATGCTTATACTTAGTGATGGTAATTACCTGTTTTATTCATTATCAGTCTATATCTTTGTATATTTAATTATGATTGGAAAATGCTGAGATCTGTAAACCAGTTTTTGTGGGAAATGCCTCCTGTAGTAGCTTTTGCCCTGCATTGCTATGAGCTTCTCAGTTCCTTGAATATTATATGATGTTTTATATACTCATTAGAAAAGATTGTAGCTAGGAAAAGCATCCTAGAAATATAAGCCCACATGGTAAGACATATATATGATTAACTTAGTGCATTTAAGAATATGATACTCATAGGTAAGGTTAGGGGGCATGCATCACAAAAAAAAATCTGTAAAGGTTGGATACGTTAAAAGAGCCTTCAGATCATTGATTTATCATTTTCTTTTTAGTAGGCTGAAGTGGAGCACACACACAGTGCTTAAAGCACTAACACTAGCATGCATACACCAAGAAAGAACTGACTAGATTTATTGAGTTGAAGTCATTAAAATCCAGATATTTTAATTTTATTTGACAAAACTTGTGTTTTGTGGTGGTTCTGTTTTTAAATTATGTATAAGCTTTTAAGCGTAACTATTGATACATAAGATATAGTTTGTAAATTATGTATAAGCTTTTAAGAACTTATCACAGTTATGGTAGGCAACTATTGATACATAAGATATAGTTTGTAAATTATGTATAAGCTTTTAAGAACTTATCACAGTTATGGTAGGCAACTATTGATACATAAGATATAGTTTGATAAAGAGAAATCAGGATGAGTAAATGTTCAGTATTCTTGTAGGGTCACAATAAAGTTTTAGTATTCTGGTATAATTACCATACATGCAATAAATATATATTAACATTTAACAGTGTTCTTTATTTTTCCTTTACAAATGTTATTAATATTTGTATATAAATACATTTTTTACAAAGGTACTTAAAAATGATCAAGGATGATAGTTTCATGAATTTACTATTTACTCTCTCTCACTTACTCACTCTCTAGCTTACTCACTCACTCTCTCATACCATATAATTAGTAGCTTATTATACCCACAGTCTGTCTTTAAAACTTCAGTTATAGACTATGTATGTCAGTAAGGCTAATAAAACCACTACAAATATTAGTCAAACATAATGCATAGAAGATACACAATTCATACCAATATTTCCCTTTTCCTTGGTATCTAAATTTTTACATCTCCAATCAAGAATTAATTCCATGTTTTACCTAAAACAGTTTTTTTTTGTTTTAAAAATCATTAATTTGTATTTTATCCTGGAGCATCTTATGGATGTGAATCCTCTGTTTGATGTTATTATACCCATAAACTAACTAGGAGCAACTCTGATTTGTTTTACAAGGAAAATACCTATTAGAATGATATTAGAAAGCTAACAATGACAATAGGAAACAAACTACATTTCCATGGAGCTCAGGATATTTGCCACCTCTTTTACACAAATGCAAATCATCATCTATGTCACCTTAATAACACCTGAAAACTTTTTTCTTTGTTTCTCTTCCTAGATCCTGTGTTAAGAATCTTACTGAGCAATTATGACGTTCTTTTTTTTTTGGGGGGGGGGCTGTGACCTGACCTGTAGGAGTCTTGTACTATCCATGGCCTACAAAATGTTAATCCCACAGTGTGTTCTTTTCCCACTGAGGAAGGCCTCTATTGAAATAGCCTCTTTAAACAGTCTAAATGTACTGCACTGCACATTGCAATAACCAGAAAAGATAATCTTCCTTTATATATTTTATGCATCTATTCATGCACCTAATGATACATGGTTGTAAATCTACTGGATTACCTCTTGTTAAGATCTCAAAATTTTAAACTAAAGCAGTGATTTATAAGATCCTAACAGTAGTTATATGTCCCAGCAAGGTCTATATGAGTGTCCTAGGGCCAATGAGGAGGACAAAGGCCAAGAAATTTCCTGGGATCTTAGAAAAGACATGCGTGTTAGCAAATGCTATTGGGGAAGCATGGCAGCATCCACACCTTATTTCCACTCACTAGGTCCCTTACGACAAGCCGCCAGGCAGAGCCTCGGCCCATCTCTAGCTCATGACTGATCTGTTCAATATGCCCAAGCCACGACATCCTCGGTCTCTCACAGGCCTCCTCCACCTGGAGTTAACAACCCGTAAACAGAATCGTCCTAAGGGAAGAGAGCCTGGTGCCCATATAGTCCCGGATTTAACGGGCAATAGGTCATGTGCCGGTCTCACAGTATAACCATTGGTTGGGAAGGTGGTCCTGTCAATTGTGCCCCATAATCCGGCATCAAGACGAAACACCAAGGCACAGGATAGCGTCTCGGTATCACTTCCATAGAGTAAAACTAGCAACTTGGTCCTGCACAGGTAGTGGCATATCCAAACACTTAAAAGAGTTTATGGCACCTGCTGCCTGACCAATCAGTCTCCTGACTCTCTGGTCAGACAGCCCACTCATGGACTACACTACAAAGATATGTAAAACTCTGTGACTTGGATATCCTCACTGCAAGCATGTATCGACTGAGCAAGTTCCAAATCATGTATCTTGGTCTTGGTTTAGACTTCTAAACCCAAGCATTTTGCCTCATTGGTAAATGCATATAGCGCCCTCACGAGGGTTTCCAAAAGACTCGTATAGGATAACAGCATCATCAGCAAAGCCGAGGTTGGTGACTTTGATACTGCCCAGTGTTGCTGCACAATGACTGGATAGTAGCCCTGCCCAGTAGTATCCAGTCCATGCAAGTGTTGGTGCTGTTGGTGCAAGAACAGCCTTGCCTAACTCCAGAATTCACAGGGAAAAAGCTAGGCAGTCCTCAACCACACTTTACAACACGTAGAAACAGTAAACAGGCATGCTATTATTCCAATAACCCTTGTTGGAATTCCCCTTACTGTCAGGATCTCCTAGAATGATTCACGACGCACTGTGTCGAACACTTCTGGAAGTCGATATAGGCTGCCCAACCGAATTAACCATGGCGCTTTACGGTGACTCTAAGCGCCAGAATACGGACTATTGTGGACTTGTAAGGAGTGAATCCAGATAGTACCGGCCTCCGATGCCTCAGAAGGTAACTTCTAATACGTTCCAGGAGGATGTGAGCAAGAACCTTGCGTGGCATATTCAGCAGTTTAGTGGTAACTGCTGCAGTAATATCAATCCCCTTTCCCATACCACTCAGCAGGTCAGGGAAACGGTGTCAGGACTCCCAGATGGCACCCGGGACAGCAAACCTTTAACAATGCAGCAGGGATGACGCAAAATCCAGCTGCATTACCATCTCGTGATTGACGAGAAGCATTCTGATAATGTGTGAGCCTGATTTTACAATTTCGTAATTCGTTGAAATTACAATCCATAATATTGTGTAGTATTGGTAAATGAATAACAACTGCATGTACCACAGCATCACTGCATTAAATAAAACAGGAAGGCTACTTGAATACGGACGAGGACACGAAAGAATCTGCAATTCCGTAGAAAAAAAAGAATCATCATCATCATTATCCTCCCCCTCCTCCTCAGCATGGTCCGCCACATACCACTTGGAGATCTGAATGCATAAGACAACCATGCAGTATAAGATTATACGTCTTCATTTTCCTTGTCTTTATTCCCCTATTGGTTCAGATCCTTCTACACCTGACCAGTCTAAGTATATTGCCTTTAATTAAATTGACAAAGAGTGCCTGGGAGAGAGATGGTCATAGTATTCCACAAAGACGACGTAAATGGATTGATGAAGATCCATGAATAACAGAAGCACAGAGCACGAAACTGAAAGATAATTATAGTTCGTTGAGAATCCGATAATTATCCAGGTTTTGTAGTAGAATCAAGACCAGGGAGAGAGGCAAACTCCGTGTAAAAAAAACTCAAGGGCTTTTTCCAGTATTCGTTGCATCCTTGGCGAGAACAAAGCGTGGTCCTCATTTGATGTCCTCGAAAGTGAATGATCTGGATATTAATCAATTCATATGAGTACTTGATAGTCTGTTTGGATTCAGTTCTTGGCGAATCTCCGAAACTTTGAGAGGAAATCAGCTGGAGAAAGGACCAGCATTTTCAACTTTGACTTGATTAGATATCTCACTCAATTACTCCCTGACTGACACTCATTTTGAGAGACATCAGGTTCCAATCTCAAGATCTATATAGATCTTGCTCTCTCTTTCTAGCAGGGCATCCAATTATTCTCCGCCTGCTGTGGGAAGACCAGTCACTGATGATTTTTTCTGTAGCCGCCCATGCGTAGGCCACGACCTTTGATCCCTCTACCTGGACTTCGACGCCAACATCAGCCTTGAATTATTCTTGATCCGGTCTTCAATCGGGCTCCAAATGGGCCTCCCCTCAGGCTCCTTTCAGGACCTTGCCGTCCACTCGAAGAAGGCCCGGTAGTCTAATTGCACAGCACACTTCTTCATCCAGCCATGTTACCAAATGAACTCCCAGACTATCTACTTAATAAAAGCCCTCCTGACAAATAAGACAGATAGGGAGTAAGACAAAGGGAAATAAAGAGATAAACAGATGAAGTATCTTTTTAATTTTCTCTGGATATAGTATTTTAGAGTGAATAAGGGAAAGTCGCAGACACGCTTAATAATGCTTCCTACCGTCTCTCCCGGTTCACCTTTAACTTCAATGTTCCTCGTTTACATATCGACCTGCTTTATTTTCCTTTCTCCGTGATTCTTTTCGTCCTGTAACCTTGTCAATTGAGACGTTTTTTAGATTCATCAGAGAACTATTCTATCATAATCAACTGTTATAGTTTTAAAAATTAAGCTTTCACTTGTTCAACTTTCTAGAATAGTGCTTCTTAACCTTTTTAGAGTCACCCTTCCCTAGAAATATTCACATAAACACAACTTAGCAGGCAATGTGCATAATGTACTTTATTTGAGATTTGATTGTTTCATATGTAATGTGTATATATAAATATATATATATATATATATATATATATATGTATATATATATTATATATAATATATATAATATATATATATATATACTTATATATATATATACATATATATATATATTTATATATATATATGTACATATATATATATATATATATAATATATAATATATATATATATATATATATATATATATATATACATATATATATATATATATTATATATATATATATATATATATATATAATATATATATATATATATATATATATATATATATATATATATATATATATATATATATATATATATATGTATATGTATATATATATATATATATATATAATATATATATATATATATATATATATATATATATATATATATATATATATATAATATATATATATATATATATATATATATATATATATATATATATATATATATATATATATATAATATATATATATATGTATAGATATAGATATAGATATATTATATATAT